TAGCACTTCTCTAGTGACGCTCAGCTAGTGCTCACTAGTTCTTATGTAGTGCTCACTAGTTCTTATGTAGTGCTCACTGGTTCTTATGTAGTGCTAACTAGTTCTTATGTAGTGCTAACTAGTTCCTAAGTAGTGCTCACTAGTTCTTATGTAGTGCTAATTAATTCTTAAGTAGTGCTCAACAAGTGCGACGTTCTTCAAACCACTGAGCCGTTATTTTTAATACTAGTTACACACCAGTCAAAAAGATCGTTCTTTAGAAAATTGGTAATGCTAATAGTACTAGAAATTACTAACAGATCGTGAAGCTATGGCGCACTACCAGATAAATTTTTTGGTTAAAGAAACCTATACATAATCAAGTTGCTTCTAGTTTGGCTGAATTAATGCAGGAACAAAATAAGTTAATGAGTTTCGTATCTGAAATGGAGAAAAAAATAATCGTGCATTCATTTACAGTTCAAGTTTACAAACAATGTAACTTAATACTAATAAAATTTAGAAAACAAGGAAATCCCTTTAAAATTTAAGAAAAAAAAAATTGATGCATAGCTTCTCTCAAGACGTCGTTGCCGTCCACAAACTAACATTAAAAAACTTATTTTACATACATGCTGGTGCAGCTATGAAGGCACTTGACCATTTTACGGCGAATCACGCGTATATCCCTGTCAACATTCTACAAACATTCCTCTAGTTTGTACTAAAAAATAAACGTATTTTCCCACACTTCATTCATCCATGCTCGTGCGCTCCCCGATAGATCCCACAATTCGTCTTGTTTAATAAAGTTAGCGAGCTCAGATGGATGAAGTTGACTTGCGAATAGCTTGGCTTTTTATGGCAGTGCAACTTGTACCCATTGAAGACAGAATAAAAACATTCTAACTTCACACGTTCACAATAACGTACTTAGGTTTAGGTTCGCAAAAAATGAGGTTAAAGCTTCACCATGAATGGTAATGATGATAAACTAGATACAGTACTTACCCGTTATATACTCATAGCCACGTAAATTCCACGTTTTGTAAGGCTCGTACGAAGAAATTTTATAGGTATTTCCAAGAAGTAACTCAAATTTCCCAAAATTATTGAAGCTCGAGCGTACAGTTCGTGACTTTCTGATTGACTTGGACACAGCCAGTGAACACGACCGTACAGCGCAGCTCTACTCGACCAACTGACCAACGTGTCGCTGTCGCACTGCGACCTGAAGCGCGGGACTCAAGCGTGAAAAAAACTAAACGCGAACGACACGAGGATTGTTTCAGATCATCACGATGGGCGGCGTCTAAATTTTCAGTGCCTGATAGCCACGTCCAAGTAATATGTTTATAAGTCGCCATCTTTGTCTGTATAAGGGCTAATAAAGACTCGGGATCTGGATAAGCAAAGCAAATGATCGCAGATGAGTTACACGCATTTGTTATGCTTGTACTAATTACTAAAAACATGACGATTACTAGTATCGAATGATAAATGAATGATGTCATTATGAACATCAACGCGTAGACTTGAGCACCGCAGAACGCACATTTCGTTAACGGCCACAAAAGTTGTTCTTCAGCACTGAAAATCCGCCATATTTAACTAATATCGCATGCTTCACGTCTACAAAGAAACAGATTTTCGTAGTAATAATAAGCAAGTAGTAATATAGTGTTGACATAGTTTACAACTGCCACAGCGTTCGAGTCAGCCTCCCTGATAGCATCGTTGAAGCCTTGAGTATGAACATCTTCAAAAACAGACTAGACGAAGCTATGCAGGAGCATATGTTCAGTCTTAAAATGCCTAGCAAATTACGGACCAGGCAATAAGTCCAGACGAAGCTATGCAGGAGCATATGTTCAGTCTTAAAATGCCTAGCAAATTACGGACCAGGCAATAAGTCCAGCAGCTATCTTAATCAATCGTCAGTTATGGAAAGATCGGGTTCCAAAGGCCGGATCCCTTGTGAATCAAGTCACAAAAAATTCAAGAATCAGCAACAGGCCATGGGCCTATTTCTTCAACGCCGATACTTCTATTTTATTCTATTCTATAGAAGCGAAATTCACCATCACCAAATGCAGGAGATATCAAACGGTCAGCGCCCTGCAGCTTACGAGAACCAAGCAGCGTGAGCATCTCAAGGAGACGAAGGATGGGGGCAGAGTGTAGGCCTAAAAGACAAAGAAATCACGAAAGACAAAGAAGATTGCGTGTTGTAAAGCTAATATGTGGAAGCGCGCTAATAAAACTTGCTCAGATACATGTAGCGGTAAATTTCTCGCATGTGAATGATGGTATAACTTGAAAAGCCGTCAGTGATTGGCTGGGAGAGCTACGAAATATTTTGATAACACGACGCAAGAACGAAGACCCGCAGTCAGGCACCTCGAGCTCTGGGAGGAAGAAGTGGGGGTAAATGTCATGCATGGGACAAGACCAAAGACCAAAAGAGGAACAAAGGCACGCGTCTCAGACCTCCTAGGTGGACGATGAGAAATGAATTTCATGAACGCGACGAAAAAGGTACGCAGAAAATTCTTATCGACTTTCTGTTCAACTGATCTTGTTTGCGAAATCACAGCGAATAACTAAGTGTTTTACAAAACATGTAATGATGAATGGATGGGCAGGGCTATTCCAATCGATGAATGGATGGCAAGGTTATTCCCAACACAGCGTAAATCTCCCATTGCATAGTGTAAATCTCACTCATCTCCAATTGCAATGCTATTCTTACCTTAATAATGCAGGAATATCAACACTTTTTCCCAAACAAAGACGATAAAGCAATTAAAACTTTGATAAAAGCAAACATAAGCAGACGAGACGCAGGGTAGTGAATGAAAAGCGAATGAATGTTGAATGAAAAATTATGTTACTAAGCAAGGTAACAAAGTCATACAGCTTTTAAATTAATGAAGCACACAGATAGAAATATTAGTAAGAACACCATAAACTTGGCTACAGGTACAGAACAAAATTAGCATAAATGCAGCCCATGCTGCGGCAGCTAACACGCGTCCTGTGATCTTTCTTCCCTTGCCGTACATGGAAGTTCTGGACTTGTCTTTTGATCTAATTTATTATCTAGGGCACCAACGTACCTAGTACGTCAATCTTACTACTTAAGCCAAGGATTTAGGGAAACTTATGATGGTGAACACTACGCTTGTGGTCTTCATCAGTTGTGACAGTTTACCATCCTCTACCTGATGGTTAAGCAACGCTAGTGTTCGTCAAGATTTCTGACAGTTCACTAGTCTCACATATTTGTATTAGTCAAAATACATCAGCAATAGTACAGCCAATGTCAGCGGTTGGTTGGAAAACAAACAGTTCAAAAAGCTTGCATAAAAATAAACTTACTAAAACCCAGGCAGAAAATTAGGCAGAACGATTGAAGCATAATGTTTAGTGCACGAAATGTCAACTTGCAAGCAAAAGTTGAACGTTGCCGTGTTAAAGAGTGCAATAAAATAAAAAACCACCGTTAATAAAATGCAAGTCGCAAAAAAGTGATGCACAGAGAAAAACAATGTTGACTTACGATTAAAAATAATATCCTGTAGAACGAAGAGAACGCAAGATTCCTTGACTGGAACGAGTTCTATGGAACTGGCTTCATACACGGGGGCGAGAGAAATTATTGTGTCGGCTTAATCTGCAGGGATGGAATAAATTATTTTCAGTAAAATGCCATATAATGGAGTACATAGTTACTCAATTGTGGCTCACCGACAGCCAATAAGAGGCCCAATAAGATGTAGATGCGTACGGAGAAGAACAAGAACGAGATGAGGGCAATACAGATTTGCCATAATAAAGTCAGCGGGAATAGCAACACCCGAGACACGACGTCGAAGAGCAACTTAAAAGTGACAATCGGCGCCGTAGCGAACATTTCAAACATCCCTAGCACTTTGCCGCAAGAATAATCAAAGGCCGTAGACAGCCATAAGAGAAATTCATCGCTAGCTGAAGCACCCGACATAATCAAAAATAAACGATCAGTGCATTCACTGATGACAAAGTTAGTTATCAGCCAGGCCAAGTAAAGAAATATCGCTGTATAAAGTAGCAACAAGAAGCACCACATTGCAGGACTAAATCGTTCGTAGCTGCAAGCATTAGTTGCGTGTCCACGCATCTCACGACGCGTCCTTACATCCTCTGGGCTATGTTCCGCCGCGACGACGCTAGCCGGTTGCGGAAGCTGCATTACCAAACGCGTCTGCACAAAAAAATATACTTTAAATATTCACATAATTCCAGGAAATTCGATTAAGTAGGCTTGAGCTGCCAGATAATTTCGTCAGTCAGTGTGTGTTTTGCAGGAAGTGAATGTGTATTGTTTTGTGCATGCGTTCACGACGATCACATGCGTTTGACAACAAAGAATTCATATTGACACCATTTACTATTCATCTATTCATATTGACCTCATTTACTCCCACAGTTATCATAATTATTAACACGAAGGAGATGAGAGTCTCATTTAGCAGGGAATGCCAAGGGAAACTTAAGATCATGGAGTTTCTTTCGTCATCACCTTACTTACTCCGCAAGACGCGAACCCAGCGTCACTGTTTCCCTAAACTTCATAGCGAATTCATTTATATTGCATAGCGCTCAGCGTATTTATTCACACATCTTAGTGAGGAACCTTCAGAGTACAGTAGATTATTTACAAGCAGATTTCTCTGACTTACTTGCAGTGACTAAATTTACTTTGAATACTTTTAATGTTTTGAAATACACGAAGAAGAGGTTCTCAAGCGCCTGGTAGCTCAAAATCCCAACAAGTCATGTGGACCAGACGGCTTCCATCCCAGATTGCTCAAAGAATTAGCATCCGTTCTGGCCGGCCCATTGACAGTATTCTTTCAAAAATCTAGCTCCTTATCGAACCCGGAGGAAGTCTAGTAGCTTCTTCAAACTATCGCCAGTCATGAAAAGATCCGGTCAAATGACACGAGTTTAGATCTATGAACAAGGCACGAAATGGAAAAGAATCGGCGACAGGCCACATCAGGCCTACACTTCAGAGCCGACATCACTATGCTATGTTATGTTATGTTATGTAATGATACGAAATATTCTTCACTCGTCTTGTGCCCATTGAAGGCTGAATAATATGCAATAAGTTTAAAATTTTAAACTAGTAGGTTAGCAATAACTTAAATAAATTAGTAAGGGTCAGGTAAAAATTTGGCTTTGAACAAATGAATTTAGAGCCGCATCTTGAATGATAATTTTAATACAGCTCAGTGAGATTGCTACTCGCCTGCTTTAAATTCACTGCAACGCACGCACCGTATAGGTTGATGCAAAATGATGATACTCGAGAATATTGTTCGCGATTTTCTTTTCCGCGTATCAGGCAACCCGGCCGTACAGCGCAGCTCTACTCGACCGACTGACCAACGCCTCGCACTTTAACCAACATAAAGCGCATGAAAACCTAAACGCAAACTACATGAGGATTGGGTTTCAGATCATCACTAAGATGGAGTGGGCGACGTGTAAATTTTCAGTGCGTGATAGTCGTGTCTAGAGAATGTGATCGTTTTCTTTGACTACAATTGAAGACAAACGAAAGTTTCATGATCTAAATAAGCAGAGCAAATGATGATATCGTTGAGACACGAGACAGTTAAACTAACTGATTGGATGGGAAAGTTTTTCCAATCGACGAATCGATTGCAAGGTTATTCCAGTTGATGAATGAATGCGCCGTTATTCCAGTTAATGAATGAATGGCACGTTATTTCAAACACAAAGTAAACGATAACATCAAGCATTAGTTAGACCATTTCCTTCAGCAGTGCTATTCATACCTGAATATTGCAGCAAAATCCCTGACATTTTCTTGAATCATAGACAATAAAACAAAACAAGATAGCATAAGCAGATAGGGGGCAGGTTTGTGAATGAAAAGCGGATGAGTGTTGAATGAAAAATCATGTTGCTAATCAAGCATCAAATTAAAGGTCATACACTCTATGATATTAATGAAGCTCTTTATTAATGAAGCTCTTTATTAATGAAGCTTAAATCACAAGTTCAGCACGAATGCAAAAGCAAAGAAAACGCTCATTACAGTCACCTGAAGCACACAGATATAAATATTTATAAGAACACCGGCTACTAATACTAGTACCGTAACTAAAACTAAAACTCAGTGTTAAAATTTGCCACTACAATTGAAGCATTAAGTTTAGTACCCGAGATGTTAATCTCCAAACAAAAGTTCAACATTACCGTGTTAAAAGAGTGCAATGAAACGAGGAGCAACAGTTCATTGAAAGCAAACAGCAAACAAAGCATGTGGTGGGCAGAGAAAAACAACGTTGACTTAACGATTAAAAATAGTGTCATAAACAACTAGCTAACTAACCTAAATTATTAAATTGAAACTTAAATTGAAAGTAAAATTGAAAAAGAGGCCTGCCGAGAAATTAACTCCGATTAGGTGATATTCCTTCAATGGAAAGAGTTCTACGGAACTGGCTTAGGTCACTAGGGCGAGAGGAATTATTTATTATGTCGGCCTAATCTGCAGTGTATGGAGTAAAACATTTTTAATATAAAATGGTATACGCGAGTAGGTCCATCGGGAGATGGTAAAATCATTCTTGTAAGTTAATATTCCGGTTCAAAAATCATTCCTATAGGTTCAGACGCTGAATCAAAAGTATAAAACAGTTGGCGGTTGTAAGGCTTCACAAGAAAAGCAATTCTAAAAATACGCCTCTACGTGGTGGCTAGCGATATAATTAATTTATTATAATTAATTAAATTTAATTTTCTGTACGGCAGTGTATGTACTTCGTGAAGTTATCTCACACAGCAGTAATACAAACAGCAAAGCAACGTACAAATGAATACCACAGCGCAGTTCTCATTATCTTGCCATTTCAACTAGTCCCTAAACAATTGTTCGCAGATCATAAAGATAATCCTGTAGAGTCCAATGGACGAGACGGTGGCGCCACAGATTAGGGCCTATACTTTCAAAAAAGTTAAGAGATCGTAAGTTCATCAGCCAATCATTGACGGTCTTTTAAGCAAAATCCACCAATCATAGACAAGAAAATAGAGCGTAAGTACTTACGTTCACTTAGCCAGTTTTGAAAATATGGCCCCTGCCATCCAAAAGTAAGTAGAGGAAGCAACACCTTAAGCAAGACGTCGACTAGCAGCCAAATATTTTTAATCGGCGAAGTTGTGCACAATTAATATTAAACACCTTTAAAAAATCCCTAAAAATTAGTCGCCAGTTATCTCAGATGGCTTACGCTGTAAGAAAATATTTTCGATGGGATCAGAGCCAACATAGTAAAAAAATATAGCCAATAATAAAGCAGCTGAGAATTCAATGAGTAAAAAGGCTGGAATGGAAACAACTGTGAGCAAGACTGGGTAAAGGAAAAATATTATAGTATATAACAAGAAGTAGCTCCACTTTACAAGTGTATATCGCTCCGAGTCGCAACCAGTGGTGACGCTTTGCTCCTCCACGACGACGCTGGCGAGGCCTGGAGGCTGCATCACCGAGGACATCTCCTTCAGCAGACAATTACCTGACAACATCAATGTTGAATTTGGTAAAAAAAAACGTTTTAACTTGGTTGTTTTTGTGACATTAGACTGTTTTTCGTGTTTATAACATTAACGAAGAATCCCCAAGGTGTTTCTATCCTGGGACCGATTGCCAGAAACAATAGCGAGTACATTCCAAAATGAACGCATGAAAAAAGACGGATTGAACAAGCTACAAACGTAAAAATCGGATCAACACTTGCATCCACAAGGCAATTGCTACTAAACTTATAAGCTAATACACATACAATTTATTACATTTCATGCTATGATATACAAGGATTTATCGCCGAGGTATTCGGCAATACTCACGGCAGAAGTCGTTTACGCCGCTGCCTGCGGGCTCGAGGACGGAGCAGTCGCAACAATAAGGATACAGTCCGCCATCCTGGGCAACATCCTCAGCATCATTAGGGTCTACGGACTCCATTTGCGGGTTAACAACTTCCTCATGCATGATCCTTTTTTCGATGGGATTGTGAATGTATTTGCGATGAATAAAACAGCGTGTGGAGACCTAACAAATTCATTCGAACTAGGAAACCGTAGATAAAGAATAACAAAAAATATAATAAAAGGAATAGACTATTTAATAAATACTGGAAAATGACGCATTATAAAGGCGCCGTTCCAGTAACGGCTCATTGAGATACGCATGGGCACAGCCAGTCAACCCGGCTGCACAGCGCAGCTCTACTCGACACCCAATCGTAATGTTCAAGTAAGTTTCACATCAGGATTTTTCATTGATCAGGATAAAGTTACTATTATAACAATCGAATTGAATGCCTTCAAGACTGGAAAGAACGTAGAGAGTGTATGCATCGCATCTAGCATGTTGCGAGTCAAGGTATTCTGCGTCCTAAAATCTCAATGAACGCAACATTAAAACGGAAAAAACAACAAAGTCTAGAAATCAGGTAAAAGAATAACGGACATGAATAAGAAAGTACCAAGAACGGCCGTCATTTCCTAGATGAACCTAGGAGTTAAAGGAAGCTGTTTTATTGCTCACCTAAAGCAAGTTTAAAAAAATAACTCTGTACTCACTGCTGTGAGTGACAGAGAGCGTATTTTCTCGTGGACGAAAACGTGAAGTTACGGACAGACGGACGGACAGACAGACGGACGGACAGACGAGCACAATAGCGCCTTTTTATCCATAAATGAAAAAATGCGCTAAAAACACTGAAAAATATAATGATCACTCGACTGCTTGCATCGCATATTACTAATATTTTAAAAGCAAAGTAAATCGCCACAATATATTCACCATTTCTTTATAAAAGAAAACGTATTATAAATATCGGCTATTTTATTTGCTTTTAAATTCAAAGTAAACACAGAGAAAATTGCCGTGCGTAAAGCACTCACTAGGGACCGAGGGCTTGTGATCACCCATGTAAGATCAGGCAGCGTTGCCAATACCTTCAACACAATCGCGTACAATACAAAATAAAAAAGACTTCCCTTCCTTCTGATGCCATGACAAGCATTCAAAATGATGTCTTATACTACAGGTAATTCAAAATAAGGCTTGCTCCACAAGAACATAAATAATGCCAATGAAATAAACCGCGCGTCCATGGAGGCCAGCCCAATTGAGTAAACTTGGAGTAAAATTTTTTTGTATTGAAGTTAACTTCACTTGAGGCGTTGAGACAAAGCGGTTCTGAAGGAGGCATTGACTGCATTGCCAAGATCTTACCCCTGCGGCTGACGTAATAAAATATATAACGGTTCTATACACTGCAGATACATTTATTCTAGATAATATAACGCTTTTAATGTAATGGTTCTATAATCTATATACTGCGCAGGAATTGATTCTACACATTGTGATGGTTTTAATATAATATATAGTCCCACAATGATTCTGGAATGAAGAAACGAGCAGCGTAGCTAAAATAGAACGATATGTGAAGGAACTGCTTGGAAATTGTCTACTGAGGAGCAAGCATTGCGATTTTGATTAATATCCTCGGGACAAGTAAGCTGAAAACTGCATATTAACGCAACGGCCCTCGGGCCCAAACCTAACACATTTGGGTAACAAAAGCCACACTAATCGCGTTCACGTGTATTACTCGCAGCGCTGCTGGGCTGTGGTTTAGCAGCGTTATTTTTCTGCCCCCCAAAGGCAGCGTTATTTTTCTGCCCCCCAAAGAGAGAAGCAACAACGATGTCGATAGCGTCGTCCTCCATCTCTGGGGCGCCGCGTGGGGCCAGGAACTGCAGCAGGGCGCTGTGAACCTGCACAACACAACACCACAGTTCAATGTTTTCATTACCTCAAATAGTAATAATAACCTTAATGAAGATTCACGTTAATGCCCTGAAATGTCATTACCGTTCGGTAATGAGACAATAATGATGACCTGACTAATGACCGGCTTTAATTACCTGGTGTCGTTAATGCTTGGTAATGAAACAATAATTATGACCTGAATAATAACTCGTCTTAATGACCTAAAATGTCATTACTGCTCGGCAATGAAACAATAATGATGACCTGAATAATGACTCGCTTTAATAACCTCAAGTGTCATTAATGCTGGGCTTCAAATATCAAGTGCTATTCTCGTGCTGCTCGCTGCATCAGTTTACGTTGGCTGTTGTATTTGATGTCATATCTTAGCTTTAAACTTATCTCTTGAGCTTGAATTATTACTATGATGAGTTGTTGCACGTTTAATATGATCCAAACTTTTACTTAGAGTCCTCTTATTCTTCAGACTACGGATATAGTGCTTAAGTTGTTGAAATAAAACATTTATATAAACCTACACTCCCTGCAGGCATCGTTAACGCTCCGAGAATAAACAAAAACAGCCTAGATAAAGCAATCATAGCAATGCAGAACTATTTGTTTTGACTAGAAGTGCCTATAACTTTTTAGATCTCCAAAAAACAAAGCAAGAACTCTAATAGAATCGGTGCGAATAATAGGCCCAGCTTACCCTATTCTTCAACACTGACACAATTTTACTAAATTAAAACTTTTACGTTCTATAGGATCGTGTTAATTAAGTGTTCCTTGATATGGCTTTCTTTAATGAAACCCATTTAAGATAAAAAAAACATATAAAGAAAGAAAGATACCCATATAAGAAACCCCGCTAAACACAAAAACCCAATGGCATATCAGATAGACTGCATCTGAAGTCTAAGCTATGGAGCCCTAATGATTCCCTTACAAAACTTTGCACGACAATTCTATTAAATAAGTATTTGCAAGAGAACTGTAGATATAAAACACTGGGTATGATGCTGATCAAAAGACCTACCATGAGAAAATGGTCAACTGAAAGATTCAGGAATATTCTGTACAGGATATTGGCTGTATCACAGCACCATCACTCTAGAGTCTAGTTTCACCTCGCAACACGTAAATATTTGCATGGATGCTGTGCAAATAAGCCTTAAATTTTCCATTCACATCAAAATTTACAAAGAAAATCTCTAACGTTGTTCATATACTGAACTTATTAAATATTTACCCCCGGGCCCCGCTTGCACTCACGTCATACTTGAGTTTCCTGCCCTTGGACCGCTTGGTATCAACGATTTTCTTGTTCTTCTTGCGAAGTTTATCGGTGAAGTCGAGGAACTGAGCCGTGGTGAGGGATGAAGTGCCACGCAACATCTTCATCTTGATGACCTGCTCGAGGGCGAAGGAATAGAAGTCCGTGTCGTCGTAGATCTCGGGGTCGTAGCGCTGGAACAACACGCCGCTCTCCTCCACTTTAGGGATGTCCAGCTCGGGGTCCATCTGCACAATATAGAAAAAATTAGAATAAAATTATAAAAATTATATAACAATGAGGAGGCACAATTTGAGGTCATGTCAAGTCGTTCGTTAATTTACCCAGTCGTAATGTTTGTATCTATGTGTATTATTCTGTCATTGCTATGATGGATGTCATTCGCGCGAGTAACAGAGGTGTAATTATTAATAAGACGCATAAGACAAAGAACAATTGTACACGCTAATTCTATTTCTTAGTCATAGGACAGGACTTTCACGACACGCTCATGCTGGCAATGCAGCACTCTACAATAATTCATCATAATCTAGGCAGTGGACACCTTTCATGTGTATACCACTCAGCGCCCACCTCCACTCCAGCCCACTCATCACACACCTCCACCCTAGCCCTCTCATCACGGACCTTCTCCTAGCCCACTCATCACCCACCTCGACCCTAGGCTTGCGCTCGACGCCCCCCAAAGGTGTAGCGTAGTTGCCGCGGTTCGCACTGCGCAGCTGCGTGCGTTTAAGCACTTTGTCTCTGTCGTTGAGAAGCCGCGTCACCATCACGCTGAAGTTCTCCTCAAACGCTTCGAAACTCCCTCCCTTACGAGAGCTGCTCTTGCCGTGCGCCTGCAGCAGCTTAGTGCGCTCGTCCCAACTGTCAAATCAGAAATATTGTAGTTGGGCATCTCAAGAATGATTGTAAGATGTTGGGAATTGGGCAAACACAGAAATAATGTAGTTGGGCCTCTCAAGAATGATTATAAGGTGTTGAGAATTGGGCAAAAAAAAAAAGATTTTTTGAGCAACTGCAGAATTACGCAGTCTTCCAAGATGGATGATGAAAAAAATTCATCAAGTATGAAGTTACAGACGGGCACTAAGCAGTGTAATAAGTTAATACAATCTTTATTTTACTGACAATTACAATGGTTAAGATGTAATATGCCTGAAGAAGTACTACATAATATGATCATCAGTCGGTATACAGCAATATCCTCTCTGTGCACCTAGAATTCGAGTGGTGAGTGTAAATAATCTCAGAAAGTATATCAATATATCATAAAAATCTTATGACTTACTAGGCAACAACTCTGTTCCTGTATGGTCTCAAGTTGCAGTGGCGCTTGGCTAGAGTAGCCTCAACGTCCTCTAAAATATCCTTGTCAGCTCGCTTCCTCTTCTCACCAAGCAGGCTTTTGCTAGCAATTGTGCTCTTGGTGACGCTGGGGCCATCGCAGGTCTTCTTCTTATCTTGTTTATCTTTATCTTCATCTTCACTGCTGGTTATTTCTTCGTCGTCACTGCAAGTCAAATTAGAATTTAAACATACAAAAATATATAGAATTATAAAATAATGCAAGTAAATAAAATCAGAGACACTAAAGTAGCAAATGCCAATCGATTCCTTCAATTGTCCGCGACTAAAAACAGGTTGGATTTTGACTAAAAAATTAAAATCTCATTCAAAATCATTTATAATGATTGTGCTGTAGGTTATTCAAACACAAAAAAATCAACGAGACTGATAATCCTCAATTTTTTCACTATTTCTCAGTAATATAAATTAATTCTGTAATATAAAGCCACGGCAAGGAGCATTAAATGCGAGCACAAGACACGCACTCCAGAGCTTTGGACGCGGGCGCGGTTGTGGAGCCATCAGTGAGAACCGTGCTGGTGTCGGGCGTGGCGAGCAGTAGCGACTCCTGGAGAATACCAAACACATATACAGTAGATATCATTTACCAATAGAGATTACTAGTGATATCTGCGTGAAAACAGAGATTACAGTGGATATCTGCGTGCCAACAGAGATTACAACAGATATCTGCATGTCAACAAAGATTACAACAGATACGGCATCTGCGTGCCAACAGAGATTACAACAGATATCTGCGTGCCAACAGAGATTACAACAGATATCTGCCTAGTATTGGAATTACAAGTAATGTCTGCTTGGTAACAGAAATTACAACAAATATCCATTTACCGACAAATATCACTGTGTAGAATTTTAGAGATAGCACAGGAATGGGAGCTTTTCATAAATTGCTGCCAGATCCATATATTAAAGGATGGTACATAGTCAATTTATGAACTTTCGAAAATCTGCCTTCCATGACATTTTTTAGCTCTCAAACTTATCAACTTTGCATTGGAACTAAAAACAGCATTGGTTTCCTTTACAGAAATAAGTCAATCTTGTCCAACATCTTGCAAGTATCTCGAAATCTTATTAGGTACACATGTTAATATTTCATAGTTTATTCACTGGAACTAAAAACAGCATTAATTTCTATTACAAAAAAAGTTAATATTGTCCAGCATCCTGCATGTATCTCGAAATCTTATTACACAAGTTAATATCTCAAAGTTTATTCATGTTTCTGGTAACCTACTTGAAGTCTGAGCAGACTGTCCATAAGCTTCTGGGAAGCTTCTATAGCGGCACGCAGGTTCTTATGATATCGCTCTCCCTCGTAGCCAGTGATGGAGTTAAAAGAAGCGTACACGTCAGGCTGCGGCAGCTGGTGGCTGCTGCTCACCACCTTCTGCATCAGGATGCGGCTCTCAAAAAGCTTGTCATATAAATCTGTTGAAGATAAAAAATATTTAATTTCTCACTCTCAAACATTTCAAAGAGTTTATGTATAGTTTGGAGTCAAACACTCTGAAGTGACCTGTTCAAATTTGGAGGTCATTACACTTACTGCAGCTTTGAGCAGCAAACTGCTTATGTGTGCACATGATTTCATGGCAAAGTAATTTCATATTATGAAGTTAGTTTACAAACACATATATTGTTATTATAATCAAAACAAAACAATATGTTACAAACAATATATTGCTTTGTATAATCAAAAAATAGAACAGCATAAAATATCCATTATTGATAAAGTAGGTATTTCAAACCCTGGAATGCTGGCATAGGTACTATAGATATAACAGCAATAAAAATACAGAATAAAGAGCTTACCAAATTGTTTAGAAACAGCACTGGCTTTTCTCTGTTCTTCCGATACATTTTCAGCCTTCACAGCAGTTATGTCTTCTTCTTCTTCATCATCCACTACGCCACTGTCACTATCTGGTTCACTTTCATCTTCACTGTTATTATCAATTTCTGAACTTTTATTTCTTCTCTTGAGTAATTTCTTTTTTCTAGACTTAAGTCTTGCAGCTTCAGCCATTGCTTCACTGTCATCAGAGCATGAAACATCAGAACCATTTATTGCCATGCTTTCATCATCTTCATCATCATCATCAGTATTCTCGTCTTCACCATTAGAAGAGTCAAGTTCCTCATCATCATCTGGGTCATCTGCATACTGACTGTGGTCACCATCAGTGAAACTGCAGATAAAATTATACCAAGCTTTATGTGAATTAAGAGAAAAATGGCACAGGTCACATATGATGCATATGAAATTAGGAGGCTGATTTTACTCACAAGTGGAAGGCAATGGAAAAGTTCACACTACTACCACAGCAATAGAAAATATAACTGATTCTAAGATATACGTACGTATGTAGTATTACAGATTGCCTAGACAAATTTAGAATAAATGGCAGCCATGGTCAAACAGTTGAAAGTTTGTTGAATTCTACATGTAAGTTTTAAAGAAACTCATCTAGCCATAATATACTGCAGCTTTATCAGAGCAATGATATTTTTTTAAAAGTTTGCCAATTTTCATTAATACATTTAGCCTTTTCAAATGCTTATTTTAGAATTCAAATGCATGTTTAGTAGCACCATGACAAATGGCATTGTTACTGGGGGTAATCTTAGGGCAGACCAAGCTCATGTGTTTCAGCTCACAATTATATTGTATTTTCTATTTCATTTATTTATTGTTTGAATTTATTACAAACATTGTTATTATTTATCGTCTTTCATGCTTATCTTGTTATGCTAATAATATTTCATGCATTTGTGTCTAATGTTGCCCTATGTTTTTCTGTCTCTTTTCAGGTATTGAATGACCTCATAAACTCTTATTTAATGCATGCCAAATAAACTTGTCTCAATGTCTTGAGTTGGCAGAAATCCTGAAACTCGCACTGCCATCACCAGTTGGTGAGTTGGCTGTTTAGTCTGCACTTTAATTATCAATTATTTAACTATCAATTATGTTTAATGTACATACAGTGGGGGGAAATAAATATTCGTACACTTGAAAAATCGTATTTTAATGTATGTAAGTACACAAACTGAACAGGAGAAGTGATTTATATTATGTATAGAGGTGCATTGTATTCAAAAATAGCATCAATAGGAATTAAATCTCAATGCAAAAAAAATTAATGCAACATGTTAACTTCTTTGGGTCAAAAAAGTATTCGTACAAAACAACTTTTGACTAATATTTCACACCAGAACATTCCAGAATGTACTAGAAACATTGCTTTTCGGTCGAAATTATCGTCACCATGTGTGGTGGAAAGACGGTGAAGCCTACCTTCCAAAGAACACTGTGCCTACTGTAAAGCTTGGTGGTGGCAACATCATGATCTGGGGCTGTTTCTCCGCAAAAGGTGTTGGCATATCACTTATAGATGGTAGGATGAATGCTGCAAACAACCAGAGCATCCTGGAAAATAATTTGACGACTTCTGTTGAGAAACTAGAGCTACCTGGTGATAGGATTTTCCAGCAGGATAACGATCCTAAGCATACTGCAAGATCCACAAAGAAATGGTTTACTGATAGAAATGTACACGTTATGGAATGGCCAAGCCAATCACCAGACTTAAATCCGATTGAAAATTTGTGGCGGTATTTGGAGATTCAAATTAAGAAAAGGTCCCCAACAAACATTGAGAATCTTAAGGTGGTGTGCCAAGAAGAATGGTATAAAATACCAGTCAGCATCTGCAAATCATTGGTCAATTAAAAATTAAATTAAATTATTAAATTAGTATTAAATTAAAATAATGCGGATTTATTGTTTTGTACGAATACTTTTTTCACCCGAAAAGTGAACATGTTGCATTGTTTTTTGTTGCATTGAGATTTAATTTCTTTTGATAGTATTTTTGAATACTACCGGTATGCGTCTCTATACATACAGTAATTTAAATCACTTTTCCTGTTAAGTTTGTGTACTTACATACATTAAAATACGATTTTTCAAGTGTACGAATATTTATTTCCTTCCACTGTATTTTAGGCTGATTGTTTTAATGCATTTTGGTTCTTATTCATTCTGTTGTCATTTATTGTTATAATGGTTCTTTTCATTTCTGTGAGCTTGATTAATTTTTGGTGTGATGCTTGTGTTGCAATAATTACTTTAATTGTTTTCTTAAATCATTTTTGCACTTGAAGATCTGCACTTGCATTTGCCCTTGACTGTTTTAACTCTATAATATATTCCTTAATTCACTCCTTTTTTGTTGTTCATGTTTAAAGTCAAATTAACTTCACTAAATTCCCTCACACAGCAAATAGATTATTATGTCTCTTATTGCATGTATATTTATGTTCATTTGTTTGTTTCAGTTGCTGTGTGTATCACTCCACCCATTGTTTCATATTCTATAGTTTCATATTTCATAGTTCCATAGTCCTAAATTTGCTTGTTTAGTGATTAAATTCTAATTATGAGTTTGGCAAGTTGTTCTTGTTGTATACAATTTTTAACATATTGGCTTTTCTTTTAATAAATGAAAATAAATACTCAAATAAAAGCAAATCCCTAAGTAATTCATTAATTCCTGTTTTCTGTGACAAGCACTATAGGAGTAATTTTCACTAAGTGAACAACGAGTTTGTTCCACCCACTAGTGCGCCCGGTTACAGCATATTAGACTGATACATGGTTGCTGGCAAAAAAGGACATTTTGTGCACAGTTTCTAAGTTCACATACTTGCACTTGTAGGGAGTGATATCTTCTTACTGGGTATCTTAGGAACAACAAAAAAATTCTGGGAAATGTATTAGACAGTTTCAAACACAAGAAAGAGTTCAGGCATAAAACTCACGTGAAGCTGGTGGATTCCTCAACCTCATTGCCCTCAAAGCCCTCTTCAGATGATTCATCAAATTCATCTTCATCTTCATTGGAGCTTCCATCAGAAACCTTATTTGCAGTCCTGAGTTTTTTAGACTTTGAAGTACTGCTTGATTTCTTTTTAGATGTACATTTCTTGCTAATGGATTCATTTTGTTCAGCATCGAGATCATCTTCAGAATCTTCCAGCAAAAAATATTTAGCAAGACTTGGGTCATACCCATCATCACCATGGCTGCCTTCCTCCAGGTCTGCTCGCCGGACTTTTTTGTCTTGATAACTGCAGGTGAAAAACAAGCAAATTGTTTACAAGAATAAATATTTCCTGTAGATTCAAGTCTTGCAAGAACCCGGATGGCTCACAAATAATTAAAAAATGAAAAGTGAAAGTATTTTCTCCTGGTTACTTTTTTGACTAACTTTGAAGGTGCAAACTTTTGAAATCAAGAACCACATGAAACAGTAAGCACTAGACAAAAAGGTACCTAGCAAATACACCTTTTGACCAACAGCATACACAAAAATTTCCATTTGATTTTGAATTGATTGTAAATTAATAAACATGGAGACTTCATAGAACTATACAAGTGATTAGACAATAACAAGTATCAAAAAGTTAATCATCTTGCCCAGAATATTAGATATAATGGTGACAACTGTAGAACAAACATATAACAAATATGAATTTTAAATTGAAATTAATACATTACTTTTGGTCATCATCAGCCAGACGTCTAGCATTGCGAGCCCTCAGTGAGCTGACTCCTCGAACACCAGCTCCAGCAACTCCTTCAGAGCCTTTTAGAGATTCAACAATCTTGCTACCTGCAAAAAACATCAGGAAATAAAGAAAATAGTTTTAATTTGTTTTAATTTTTCAACTAACAAAATATTAAAGTAATGAAGAGGGAGAAATTCAAGTTCTGAGGCCATTACTCAATTATGATTCAGCCATCAATATGAGCAAAGGTAAAGTGGAAATATTTGAATACAAAATATTGGTCTTTAGCTCTAATTTAGTACATGGTTGAGATTGTCCAGGTAGTCAAATGTACCAAGCTGAATTTCTATTAGATGGCAGACATGCAAGTCACAAGTAAGCTACCAATTTTGCCACCAGGGTTTCATCCCAATAGCGTTATCCCTAAGGCTATGGCCAGACCAGAGCCACCAGTTTACACAGCATAGCATTGCCATGCATGTGTTGTATTGTAGCAAATGCCTGCAATGCTTTCCTTTGATTTTTTTTGCTAAGCATCTTCTGCCTCATGCACTGAACGAAAGCCGATACAGAAATGCCTTGTTTAGGCAAAAGAAGCCAAGTTCAAGCTAATTCTAAAAATCATTCAATGTAATCCTGATAATGGTGATCCATTTTGGACAACATTGACTAGCCATGCACTGCGCGGTTAGGCATCTAGTGCTGATATCATACACCCAGCACAGCACTGCTCTGCTTGAAGCGCCAGCCTGCATTGGCATCAACGCTTTTAGACTGGCTGTAGCCAATAGGTATGGCTAATGGTATGACATCTATAAAAGAGACATTCCTGAACTGAAATTTAATAACAGTTTGGGACTGCTAAAATTTTATCAGTGTTGAAAGAATAGAAGTGAGAATTTTCAAGAAGTTTCCAATTTTTGTCCAGTACACAGTACCAGCAATTCTAAATAAGCAAGATTTGATCATGCATGACATAGCAGGGTTGCACTGGGTACCTGTCTGGGTAGCTGCCCACCTACCCACCCAGGTTGGGTTTTTTTACATGAAAAAACAGTTTTAAAAAACTTGGACTGCTTCAAAAAGATCCCATGTTTGAATTTCTGAATGCAATAATACTGGATAGAGGCTAACTAAAATACATCTATTAAGCTTTTTTGAACAAATTCAGTCATCCTGTCTATGAATAATGCAAGCCTCTAAAAAATCTCACATTGATTAGAGTACTAAAACATAGGTAGTATTAGGTACCCACCCATTTTACAGTAACCAAAATATTACTTGGTCCCCAAATTTGATCTACAGTCATGCAAGACCTATCACAATGACATGAAATCAAAAAGTGACCACCAGATACCTCTTTAATATCAAAGTTTATCCTGCAATTTTGTTTAATTTCTAGCTTCTTATTTAGCAATTTATGTCACACCATTTATAGAGAAATAAATTTCACAGAGGTTTTTTGTAACAATTTCATGTTAGTATGTATTATCTGAACTGTAGGTTTAATATCAATTTGAATTTAGGTTTTAATTTAAACCTTTCACAGGCAAGTTACCATATATGGTCACTTGAAATTGACTCAGAAAGAGACCCACCACAGCTTCCTGTTTGTGTTTGAGGCTTCCTTATCATGCCCTTAATTAGGTTAGTGATTGACATTTGACCCTTAGTCAATCACTAATTATTTGAACATCGTTCCATTTGTAACTGCACCACCTACTATGCATAAAAATCAGAATAAGAGCATTTAAATGAAAGTTGACTCTGATGCTGAAATTGACGCTCTTTCTGCATTTTTCTAAAAGGTGGAGGTATCAATATCTAATTATTTAATGTCAGTTGATTGAATTTAATTGAATTAAATTTTTATGTTTTTGATTTTTTCACCTGCAGGAACTAAATTTTAATTTAAAAACATATTTTGTATAGTGACTGCATATATACCGTAATAAATTTTTCAAGTGCAATTTAAACCTCCAATATGCAAAATTTTCAAAAATACATACTGTAAAATGGGGTAACTTTGACCACTTTTTTTCAAAATGATGCCATTTTTTTACTAGATAAGTTAAACTTAAATTGAAACATGCAAAATACAGGTCTATACTCTAGCTTTACTCACCATAAATTGCTGGCTCCTGCCTTTCATAGTTTTGATGTTATTTCAAAAAAAGTGACGGTCTTTGTTACCCCAGCTCCTGGGGTTTCTTTGACTGGGTGGTAAAATCAACTTTATTTTTTGTTTAACCCTTTCACGGGTAAGTTACCATATATGATCGCTTGAAATCGCCTCACAAAAAGCATCACCACGGCTTCCTGTTTGTTTTTGAGGCATCCTTATAAAAGTTATACCTAATGCCTCAGTCAATCACTAATTATCTGACCATCGTTCTATCTATAGCATCACCAGCTGCAAAGTCCACAAATTGAAATATGAGCATTTAAATGAAGGTTTTGACTTGGACAATGGAATTGACGCTCTTTCCGCATTTTCTTCAAAATTTGGAAGTATCAATATATATATTTATTTATTTTGACAACTTGATTAAATTTAATTAAATTTTTATGTTTCCAATTTTTCATTTGCATAAACTGAATTTTAATTATAAAGAAAAATTTTGTGTACTGATCGCATTTATTTAATTCTTCAAGTGCGATTTAAACCTTCAATAGGCAAAATTTGCAAAAATTCATAGAAATTAATATATTGTATAATACTTCTTACTTTCTTGAAATGGTTACTGAAATTTTAATTTCTGGATATTTCAATGCTTACCCGCTAAAGGGTTAAATAACTCCAGGTTTTGGTGCATTGTAGTAGAACTCTTCTAGTTACATATGCAAATGACAAATTAGTGGGAAGTGTTATAGTTTGCAAATTGGAGGCATCGCCCCAAAATCGGCGAAATGTGTCCACCTAATGGCAGCCGTGACAGGGTAACATTGACTGGCTTGGAAATTAAGTTAAAATTACCATGTATAAGACTCTGTAGAGTCTGAAACATAAAGAAAAAACATTAATAGGTGTATCAAATATAAAATATGAATTAAACTTAATTTCCAAGCCAGTCAATGTTACCCCGTCATGGCTGCCATTAGGTGGTCAAAGTTCCCCCATTGGGGGGCAGCGCCCCCCATTTGCAAACTATGACACTTTCCTAAAATCTGTCTTTTGCATATGTAACTAGAAGAGTTCTACTACAATGCATCAAAACCTGGAGTTATTTTACCAAAAAATAAAAAAATTGGAGGGGTTACTCCAACAGGCTTTAAATTATAGCTCTTTTTCGTGGGTCACATTATTAATTTTTATACCTATTAGATTTGCAAACTTTTTAAATCTTTCTATTGTGTTACGTAGCCTCAGTATTAGGCCTTTGATGACCATTGACAAAATTTTTCCATCTTAAGGGGACTGGCTACTTTCCGGAAAAACTTCTACAGTTATTACCCAATCATCATGAAACTTCACATACATACGTAAAATGTAAAAAAATAACATTTTGCTCGTATGAATTTTTCGAAAAAATTGATAGAAAACGTGAAATTCATAGAAAACGGCTAAAAAGGGGGTACTTTAGAAAAAGGGGGTACTCCTCCTACTAATATCATCCTACAACATCGAGACACGTATCATTCGATTCGTAAGGACCATACCTATCGATTTGATGATAATTTTTTCTCATTTTCCCCTTAGTTTTTTTTTATGCACGTTTTATCCCATTTTTCTCAATTTTCCCCCCTCCCGCCCCTTCTCCCCCATATAAAAAACAAACCAGACAGAAATTTCAAAAATGATCATCAGTTCGATACGTATGGTCTTTACTAATCGTATGGTATATGTCTCATTGCTGTAGCTTGAAAACTGTAGGAGGAGATAGGTTTGCCATGAGACCAATAGGAGGTTTTCACCACGCCCAAAAAACTGCCGGGTGGCACGTAAAATGACGTAAAAGAGTCATAACATAGCCAACATACTGTAAGTAAGCCTAAAACCAAGTCAGGAAGGCATAGAGCAACTGGCTGCACACCTCTCACCTCGCTGTCATGATGGGCACTAACTGCTTTGGCAACAGAGGCTGTATTTATAGTCCCGCCTTTGAATTACTCTCATAGGGATTAATGAAGGCCGCCCACTACCGCCCCCTGTTCGACGTTACGTTGCATTTGTGAAAATTCACCTAGAAAGATGATTCTGGTACCGTTTGACGCGTCAAAAAGTAAGCTTTAAGATGAGTATAAGCACCGGATAATGCCATATTTAGCTTCTTTACGTCAGACGTTCCTTTTTAGTGTGTCCAGCCTTCGAATTAATCCCATAGACTTTACTGAAGGGCCCTAAAAACAGACCCCCTTTGGGGAGCTGTCACGAAATGATTTTTCGACGTAGAGGGATGATTCTGGTACCGTTCAATGCATAAAAAAGTAAGCTTTAAGATGAGCACAAAAACCGGAAAATGCCAAAATTGAAAATTTTAGGGTAGCCGGTCTCCTTAAATAGTTTTTGAGTTTTGGGGGTTTTTGTTAAAAAAACGAAAAGTGATCAAAGTTACCCCGCCGGTCAAAGTAACCCCATTTTACGGTACGAATAAATGTTTTGTACAATACTTTTTACTTTCTTGAACTGGTTTCTGAAATTTCAATTTCTGTATACTTCAATGCTTACCTGCAAAAGGGTTAATTCACATACTTTAGTTTCTCAATGAGTTATATAAAAAACCTATATTATTCCCAAAAAAGGTTATTTTTACAATGACATTTCCATAGTCACTTGCTATGCTTTTTTAGACTATTACTTCATGATTGATAATATTGTTGTGCTAAACAACTCATAAGTCCATTAAACAAGTTGCAAGAAAAATTACCTAGTCATTAATAAAAGCCTACAGTCATGACTGCGGATGAAGGGGAGCAAAGTACATTGACTTTTGTCTGTTATATATGTCATTTAGCCTCTTGATATTTTGGCTCCTCAACATGACTCAAATCTTAAAAGACTACACAATAGAAATGCTGGTAATGAAAAAAGAAGGTAAAACCCTCTAGGTGTGGAGTTTTGTGAAGATATAATTGAGTGAATTTTTTGCAAGAGGTTATTTTACTATTTTTTAGAATACTAGGTTTTTTATGAACATGTGTGTGCTTTTTTTAATTTTGCACAATTTGGTTTCCTAATTGAGAAGCAACTAGCAATACAATCCTGTCAATTTTTAAGCACTTACAATATTAGAAGCCTAAAGGATTGGTACAGATTTCAAGGTAATTAGTCTAATTATTCAATATTTATGAGGAAGAAACTGAAAATGTTCTTTATGAGCTTGCACTACCATCAAATGGGGCAATAAGGGACAGGTGGGGCAAATTGGGCCAGTCGTCCCACATTTTGTAGAAATGTAGCAGCTAAACTAATCAAAATATTGCAAAACTAAAAATAAAATAGTGGCATAAAATTCAACATTTTTGCTATCTGTGTAGCATAAAGCATGTTAAGAAATCATACATTTATTACCTCCATAAAGTCCCTAAAATATTGTGAATATCAAGATTTTAGTAAAATACCTCTGCTAAAGCCTGTAGCAAAAAAAAAATATTTATGATATTAAAAAATTTTACTTAAATAGAAGGTACACACAGGTGTTGTCTTAAAAAAGGCGATTGATGGAATTTGTGCATCTCATTCCAAAAAAAGGCAGCCATTTCCACAAGACAAGGTAATAAGGGACACCCCCCTGGGGTAATAAGGGATACTCCTAAAAATGCATTTACGGTAGGAACTTGCTTAGTAAAGGCTCCAGTTAACAAACAAATCAATTAACAATAAAATAATTAAAAAACTTTTAAAAAACACGTTTTTCTTGTTGACTAAAAAGTAGAAAATAAATTATGGTTCGCCCCAAAAAAACGTGGGTCGGGCTGTACGTTCACCATCATATTTAGCAAGCATGACTACTTAACAAGCATGACTACTTAACAAGCATTTCTACTTAGCAAGCATGAATATTTAGCAAGCATGACTACTTAACAAGCATGACTACTTAACAAGCATGACTACTTAACAAGCATGACTACTTAGCAAGCATGACTACTTAGCAAGCATGACTATTTAGCAAGCATGACTATTTTACTAAAAAAATCGTCTGTCGGGCAGATTTATGATTGAAGCAAAAAGCACGCAAGTCATGAATTTTGGAAATTTGATGGTGAACGTAAAGCCCGACCCACGTTTTTTGGGGCGAGCCATAATTTATTTTCTATT